AGTCAGTGCTCTGAAGAGCTGCCCACGAGAAACGTCAAGGAGGTATGGAACTCTTGCAATAAGGAGACAACAGTATGGAACCTTTGTAAATAATGTCAACAGGTTGTCTCTTTTCCATGGCAGGATTAAGGCTTGCTGCCTAGCACAGTGCCTTGACTTCTGGCTGCTTCTTTCTGAGCACCTTGGGCATCCTTTGCTCCCACTTGCCATGGCATATCTAGCTGTTCCCTAAAAGGGTCCTAACCAATGTTTTGGTCTAAATATCCAGTTGTTTAATAGTTTTTAATAGACCTACAGCTGTGCCTAGCTACTTTGAGAGGAAATTAAGTTTTAAACAAACAGTTCAGATCTCCCAGCTCTTGCAGTGGGCAGGTCCATTTGAAGAATGCCTCTCTGATGGCAGACAGACTGCACCCAATATTGTGCCAAGTCACTCTCCATTTGTAAATATTGGAATGTGTTGTAGTTACAGATATAGTAAAAGAAAGAAGGTTTAAATTATACAGCTGAGAAACACCAAAGGAAAATAAATGTAAAACAGCACATGATGTGTGTGCTGTAGGTCTCCAGTCTTGCTATTAGATAGGAAAGATAAGAAACACAAGCTAAAAAGGTCACTCAGTTGAATGACCCTTATGTTTTCTTAAATGTCTATTTTTGCTTCACCTAAATCTGTGTAATCTGCTTTTCTTTCCCTCATATTTTCTGCTGTGACTGTGTTTTAAAAGGAAGGCTTAAGCAGAAAACATGTGTAGGCAGGTTATTTGACATATGTTTCATAATACTAGCTGTAAAGGACTAAAGATGGTAATTAGCAATGGAAGACAGTTAAGATATGTCCACATAATGGCAACTGCTGAGCAAAGGATGTGGTCTATGTAGTTGGACATGACCTGGTGGTGCTTATCTGGAAAAGGAGGAGTCCTTCAGTGTGACCAAAGAGAAATACTTGGTGTGGAGGAGGGAGGGGCAAGTCCTTCTTTTGTCTGGCTAGAAAGTCAATTTATCCTGCTGTGCTGTTGAGAAGTTTTCCATAAGAAGGAGGCAGTGGTACCAGAGAGCAGAGCAGCTGCAGGTCCCGGGGAACTGCCACTCCTGGAACTTGCCCTCACATGCAAAGTACAAGTTTAGAACAGGCATGTTCTCCCATTTCTGTAATGAAAATTCAAGAACTTCTATGTATCTCTGCTCAGGCAAGGATCTGACAGGAACTCTCGATCTAGCACTGGGGAAAGGCATGGAGGACATGAGGACAGAAACCAGGTTTTTCCGAACACATTTTGAGTGTAAACTACAAAACGCTGCTGCTGCTCAGGATACCTAGGCTACAACTGAGTTAGCCACTCTAAATTTATTTTGGTGAAATGCAGTCTTACTACTAAGTACTCCTGCTTAAACAATTACAGATCAAAGGGCGAAGAGAAAACTTGTAAATCTACCATCTTTCTTTTTTTCTGTTTGCTTTTGGGGTTTGCAATAATGATATTTTTTCCCAAAGATTTTTAATGCTTGTATAAAAGGCACTTTCCAAGGCTTAACCATGCCACTGACCTATGCTGGACATGTTGCAAATTGGACACTGTCTTCTGTATACTAGGCTGCAGATTTCTAACTCTTTGCAGTGTTGACGCCTGCTCTCACAAAGAGAAGGAAATGAAGCAGAAAGATCCCACTGCGACAATTAGTGGCTCACAGAGAAGTATTGAAACAAATAATAAGTGGCTGAAACAATTCAAGGGAGGGAAACACTAGCTTCCTACTCTACCACAATCTAATCTTCTTTCTCAAATTCTCTCTTCCCTTATCCCAATGGGGATTTTCACACACTTTCATTCCCACTGTTAGTGTGAAATGATTCTTTGTGACCAGCAAGCAGCAGTTTAGTCCTACAGCACTCTTCTACCCTCTTGTCTGTTGCCAGTCTTATCATTTTATGCTGTACCCTTGTCTGAATTTTTGAAGTAGCACTAATGTCTTGTTCCCAAGCTGCTGTAACACAAAGAATTTTAATGAAACTAATTGAAATAGATTCCTCCTCTTTCACTGAGGCAGCTGGCCAAAGAACTGGCTCATGGGCAGGGAAGTCCTTCAGCTTTGGAAGTAAAAATCCCCTTTGAGATGCAAGGGGTACTGGGGTAATCTTTGCAACTTGCTGGGTGAGTGGTGCTGGTGGCTATCCTCGCCCTGACTCAAGGAGATGAGCAGTGACAGAATCACCACATGCTGAAGGATCATCAAGTGGGTGAATGATGTGGCACTCTGGATGGTGCTGTGGTGGGTTTACAGCTGGGAGTCGATCTTAGAGGTATTTTCCATCCTCAATGATTCTGTGATTCCTGTCCTACACTCGTCTTTCTTGGCTTGATGAGTTCATATCTCCCTCAAAAGCATTATTTTCTGGGGCATCTTTGGTAGCAAATCAAAGCAAGCATTTCCTTTGTGAGTTACTGTGATTACATTCAATCTTCTAGTGAATGCTGCTGTCTTTCAAGCATTTATATTTTGCTCTCTATTTAAGAGAATGATGTCAGTTCTCATTCCCCTTGATGTCTACTTAGCAAAAAGCAGCCAACAGCCTGAGCTTATTGGGTGGTTTTCATCAGATAGCCAGGTTTGTTAGGTGAGACCATGAAAGACCTGAGATAACAACTGCAGTGCACTGAGGGGACTCTAACTCTGCAGTTGTTCAGAACAAATTGAGTGTCAGCTGCTCTGCTGCACAGACAAGGGGTGGGAAGGATTGCTCCTCGCCCCCTCAGCAGCCGGACAGCTTCCTCCTGCACTGCTGGGAAACAGGATGCACGCTGTTCTGAGCAGGGCAGCAGCAGCACGGGGAGGAGGAGAGGCAGGGATGACAGACAGGACTCTGCTCTGGCTCTTGGGAGGGAGCAATCACTCCAAAACTCAGATCACAAGAGGGAACTTGGGGGAAATTAAAGTAAAGGCAGCAAAAGAGATAGGGAGGAAAAACAGTGTATGTTCCTTGGCTGTTCAGAAAAGCCTCCTTGAGGTCTCTGCTTTAATGTATCCTTCTGTTGCTGGCTGTGCCCAGCTGAACAACCTTTGGCACATCCAGAGTGGTGCTAATGCTGTTCAGCTGCCCTTAATTTAGTACGAGTTTTCCTCCCCTGAGGGCTGATAAAACTGGTAGCTAATTTTCAGACTGCTTAACCTGTGCCAATCTTTCTCCAATATCAGGAGTTAGGAACTGTCTCAAGCAGAGCATTCCCATCATGTAAACTAAGTACAGTAATTAATTCACTAATGGCTTAGTAGTTAGGTGTTTGCTCCTGAAAAGAGCTCCTGTCTCTGGTCCATCTGGCTGCAGTTGTGTCTCTCCCTGGAGCAGGCATGCAACTGGCAGAGTAGGTGAAGTAGAATGTGTACTCTGAGCAGAGATTAGAACTAAAGTACTGTAACGTGCCACAGCTAGTCTTGCTCACATGCTACCTTAGCAATTAGTCACTTATGTATTTCATTAGGTCATAGTAGCACAACATTTGCTTCCTGAGGGATTGTCTACCACTGCCAAACAGGCTTCAGTCTAGGTTCTGAAGCTCAGCTGAGGTTCTACCTGATAGCAAATCACCTCATAACTCAGGAGGGACTGGCAGAATACTTTCTAGATTAAATCTGTTGTTTCCATACCATTTTCTTCCTACAAATGAGATCTCTTGGAGGTAGAGTAGCTACCCTTCTCTTGGTGTTATAATGCAGCTTTTCTTTGCGTGTGAGAAATCGTTACCATACAGCTGTGTACAGCTGTCTCTTTGCAACCAGGATCTGCCATGGTGCTTACAAGGCATCTGAAACTGCTTGGGGGAGTGCTGTGCTGTGGCAATTGCCTGGTGAAGACACAGGAGAAAGCAAAAGGTCTGCTGCAGAAATCCTTAGAGCCTCTATCTATACATGAACTTGGGAGTGGAGAAGGTTGTTTTTGTGCAGTGAATAGCACAGTCAGCACATCATCTTTTACTCTTTTTGTCTGGGTTCAAGTGTAATGAAGCTCAAAATGCTGGCAAGGAAAAAACACCTGTTTTGCTGTGCTTTAAAATAAATACATTCACCTGGCTGGGCCAGTTCCAGTATAATAATAATTTTGTGAGTTTTAAAGCGTAAAACTAAATGTTGCAATGAACTGTTGCCAGTGACTATCTGGTTCTAAGGTTTAGAGCTCATGCTGGACACTTTATTGCTCTTTTCAGTGAAAATGCCCTTAGGGATCTTAGGTCCAGTGCAGTTAATATAAAGCAGTAACAGAAACACAATTCCAGGCTTTTCCCTCAGACGCTAACTCAAAAGTTACCAAGAGAAGATCCTCCTCATAGTTGCTTATCGGTGGTGAGGTATTCACAGTGCCAGGATATCACTGTTACTGGCTTGGTTTCAGACCTCAGACATGTAAGCAAACACTGTCAGGAGCACATATTACTTTCTAGTTGTCAGTGTGTTTTCTGGAAGCAGATGGTCTTTCACCCAGCCAGTGAGTAGGGAGATGACAGTTGTCTCGCGTTTTCTTCTGGTGTCTGAGGGCAGCAGTACGGGGCGCCTTAAGAGCGAAGGGCTGGAAGAACTGAAATCGGCCGGAGTACAATGCACCCATTCCCGTGCCCGGCCGCTGCTGCAGAGGAGGGTGCGCGGCCAGCCCGGGGCAGCGCTGCCTCCCTGGCACCTGCGCTCCGGGCCAGCGGGGAACCCGCGGGGCAGCCCCGCCGCTGGCTCCCTCGCACCCCTCGATACCCCCTCACCCCTCGCACGTCCGTGCACCGGCGGCGCTGGACGGTGCTGTGTCCCGGCGCCTCCGCCTCGCCCGTTCCCCGCTGGCCGTCGCCCGGAGCCCCGGCCCGCCGGGGGAAGGAGAGAGGGAGCGGCTGCGCTGCGCGGCCGGCAGGTGGCAGCAGGCGGCGCGCGGCTCCTGGCGGGCGGCGGGCGGGAGCGAGGGGAGAGGAGGCTGAGCCCGAGCCCCGGAGCCGCCGGGAACCTGCTCGGGTCCTGCGGGGCTCCGGCATTCCCGGCCGAGGGCGCACCGCCTCCCATGCGCCGGGGGCCGCGCGGCTCTCAGCCCTCTCGCCCCCGAGAGCGCCTCGTCGCGGGGCGCCCGGACGGGACGCCGGCGCGGAGCGGTGAGGCGAGGCAAGGCCCGGGAGGGTGGGCGCGCCAGGTGGGCGGTGGGCGCCGTGCCGGGGGCGCGGGCAGTGCCCGGGGCGGCGGAGCCCGAGGCCGCGCTGAGGGGCTGCTCCACACTGGGGCTACGCTCGGAGTCGCGGCCCGCGGGCTCTCGCTCTGCCCCGGCTGTGGGAGCGCGGTCGGCTCTGCTCCGCTCCGCGGGATTCCTGCGCCGCGTGTTTTGGCTGTGTGAGTAGTGTAAGTAGCCATTTCAAAGCTGCTCTCCTCGCACGCTCGGTTTCCAGGAGCTGCATCCAGAGGCAGCGTAAGGAGCTGGTTCGTTTTGCTTCGGTGTCCCACCAGAAGCCGTGGCTGCACGTAGCCTGAGCCGAATCCAGCAGTTTGTACGGGAGAGGGAAGGCAGTGGATAACTCGCCTCACGAAGAGTGCGTGTTGCAATTGTTCTTGCTTGGGGCCAGATCTTTTGGTCTAAGTAAGCACAGTGTGCAAAGCATGAACCGCGCTTGGCGTTCGGTGTTTCTCTTCACGCTTTCCGGCCTCTGGCTTTGTTACCATCTCTCCTTTAATTCTACCAGCACTTGAGCTGTTTGTGCTCACTTGTCAGGCTACAGGCTATGTGCTGTAGCAGAGGAGAAACTTCAAATACCTTTTCCCGCTGTGGGTTTACATTTTTGCAAATGTCAGTGTGTCCATACCTGTGTGTGTTTCATAGCTCTTGACGCACTTGACATTAATTCATCCAAATTATTTTCTTCCAGATTCTAGATACATGAATAGTTTAGAGAGGCTGGCAGCAGTGAGTTCCACAGGTTACTCCGTTGTGTGGAAAAAACTACTTCCTTTTGCTTCTTTTAATTTTTGAGCCTGATACTGTATGGACCTCATAAATTAATTGTGCTTGGTATTTGCTCACTATCTCTGTGCCATTTCAGAGCTGTGCTCTTTGATGATCTGTCTACCTCAGCTATTCCTTATTTCAGGTTAATGAATTCTTAGCTTTTTAGTCACCTTTCTTCTCTATCTCTTGCCCATGTAATTTCTCTTTTCTCTATTTTTTTAAAATTTTTTTCAAAATCAAGGTATCAGCAAAACTGAGCTATATGCAAGTTTTCAATACAGCAAGGTTATATAAGGGCATGATGATGTCTGCTGGCAGAGATGAGAGATAATTTGGTGCATATATATTGTGAATAGCCGTCAAAAGTAATAGAAGTATTTGTAACTCCATGTGTCACCTGTTGGTAAATCAGTGTGATTAATTTTTTTTAATCAGAAACCACTGCCTAAGGCACCAGTGGTTAGTAGCTCAATACAAGGGTGTAAGGTTATGGATTAAATAGTTGTCTGATGAGCTCTTAATATTCTGTCAGTCTGCTGTGCATGTTCTTCCTGTCCTCTGTGGCAAGAGCAGGAACAGAAAATAGCCCAAATCTGTCTGTTTATTGCTGTTTGTGGAACTGCCAATGTACTCTTAGAAAGCTGATCTACCAGGCTGTAGCTTGCCAACTTGGACTTCTTTCTGGTGTAAACTTAGTAGTAATCTATTGGTTGATGTGGTTTTCATCTATGCAGTATAATCAGGGATTTAAAATGAAACCGGATATTGCTGATATTCATTAGACACCTGCAATTCTCGATGCTTTCTTTTTCACCAGGGAATTCCATTTCCAGAGTGGAAAGAGAATTCTCTCTAGTGGGAGAATAGATTTAAGCAGACTAGGAGGAGAGACTGCCTTTAACAAGAAAAGGGCTGCAAAGTGAGCATTTTTAGTTAGAAATGTGAAGCCAGCTGGTATGGATTGTCATAGGGAGTCCTTCCAAGTGAGTACAGGTAGGAAATATGGAATATTTATCATTATTGCATCCTGAACGTAACATATCAGCTTTTATCTAGGAGCAGGGCTGACCCCAGGTTTTGCTGCTGCTGATTTTAACCTGGAAAAGCTCCATTGTAATGGAAGGAGCAGTTTGATTCCTGATTAACTCTCAGAAACACTTGGAGGTGTTGTATGTTGCAAGATTTCAGTCTTTCTGCATTTCATACAGCAGGTTGCTTCAGAGCCCCAGCAGATTTAATTGTAGCAAATTAATTAGGTTGCTCCCAGGCAGTGATGGGTTTTATGATCTCAGTAGAAAATCTTTGGTTATGCTGTAGAACAAGCTGAGTAACTGTGTTAGAAATGTGCATTAAATGAAGGCTGAAAACAAAACAAGAAGGCAGGATCATCTTTAAGACTCATATTGGCCTCAGTGTGGGGTTTTGTGCAGACAGTGACAGCAGAAAAGCTGGATTTCCACACTGCAGTATCAGTTCTCTGTGATGTCACATCAGATGTGTGATATTCAGGCAATTCACAGTGGCAGTTGTGGTTAAAAACAGAGGTGAAGTGCTAGTCAGAAACTTTGTGGTACTTGGGATTTTCTTTTTTGCTTTGAAAAATCAGGTTTATCATCCACAGTGAAGTGCAGTCACTGCAGACGCTTCTGTGGGCATTGAATTCTGTACAAGAGGAGTAAGGTTAGGTGGTTAAGCACTTAAAAAACCCAAGGAGCTCCAAAGTCAACCATGCATAAGCAATTTTAGCTGTGTCCCCTGTAGTGTTGTGTTATCATAACAACCTTCAGGTTTGGAAGGTTGTTATTTTTTGCAAGTAGGAAAAAACTAAAAGAAAACTTACTATGTCAAACCACCTTCTTAAGGAGTTCAGACCTTGATAGTCGCCCTTTTACCATAAAGTTGACAGGGAAAGCATTTTGTAGCTTTGAATTGTGAAATGCTTCCAGGGGTAACAGTCCTGGCTGAAGAACAGATTGTGTGACAAGTCTTGTTCCCTTGAGCAGGCACATATTAGTTAGTTAGTAGTTACTACTACATATTAGTAGTTCAGTTATTAGTTCTTTTGTTTTCAGACAGCAGCTCTACCTGATCTAAATGCAGTTTGGACCACGACTTGGGTAATTGTAAAGCTAATTATGTTGTGAATATATGTGGTTCAGTATGTGACCAATGAACATGGTTGCATTGTTGGCAGGGTAAGTAACACTGTTTTGCATTGCAATAACTTTGTTTTTGTTCATGATACTAAGTACTTTACACTAGATAATTCTGTTCGCGTATATTAGGTTTTTAGCAATAATGCATTGTTTAGTACTTAGAAGATTGATCAGAAGGATGTTAAGCAGATATTAAAAAATTATTAACAGAATGATCTGATGGATCTGATTTTGCCTCCTATCTTACTCTGTATAAAGAAAGCAGAGCTGAGACCATGTGCTTTAGTGTTGCCTGATTATTTTTGTTCTTTGTGTTAGTGACAATAACAGCTTAAAATTCTGTAATTTAAACCAACTCAGTTTTCTCCTCCTGGAATGTTCTGTCCCACCCATTTTTCTCTTGGGGACTTGAGTGTCATGTCACACATCAAATTTGTGTAACCCCTGCCGGGTTATGGCATTCCCAGAGATGGGTCAGCCTTCATAATTCTGGCTGCCGTTAAACAGTCAGCACTTGTCAGCACCATGTACAGACATCTGGTACACATTTTTTACATGGTGGTACCAAGTGTTCAGTGTGGGGCTTCTCCACAGGAGCTGTTCTGGCGCTAGAAATGCAGATAGGATCTCAGTCCCGTCCTTGTGAGGGCAAGTAGCCCTGTGGGCTGCTGAGGTGATGGATGTGTGAGTTCCTGGAATGTGGGCTTCTGCTTTCAACACTCCTTGGGCTGCTCTGTGCTGCTCATTGAGGCCATTGGCGTCTTGCTTTATGTCTGAACTTGTTCCTCTATCTCTGACTAGGTATGATAATTACAGGATGTTGGTCAACTGTTCAATTTCCTGAAGATAGTTTAATTCAAATTACTTTTTCTTTAGTATCTTTGCATGCAAACTATTTATTGTGCATGAATGAAGCCAAATTATGTAGTATGTGCTTCATAGATTTGTTACTGTGCTTCTCTAAATCACAACTTAAGGCCTTGCTTGTTGGCTGTTTCACATCAATCCTGTGTTGCTGCTACTACTTGGCATCCCAATTCAGTATTTATTTTGGTCCTGGTTTTGGAATTTCCCTTCACAGGAAGATTCCAGGCTCCTTATATGGAAAAATGTATTTTAAAAAATTTACTTTTTCCATCAGTTCTGTAGATTTTTTTTCTCAGTAAGTGCAAGAGCCACTATCTCTTTTATTTAAAGCTCTGCTCTAAGAGCCAGAAAAGTCAAGGAAAAGGTTATCAGCAACTTCAGTGTCTTTCACATCAGGCCACTCCCACCTGATGTGCTCTTGGCCTTGGAAAGCAGGACCACTGATTTCAGCCATGAGTTTCCCGTGGTTTCTTTGACACTACAACAGTTAGTAACTTGTTCTTAACTTGACAAGTTATACTTGTTGTATAGTTGGCTCCAGGAACTGGAGCCTTGGGAAGACTCTCTGGGTACCAAAATAATATTTAACTTACAGGGCTTGGTAGATAAAATTCATCCCTTTGCAGAGGAGCCACTTGTTTGTAACTGTGATCCTTTATTCCCCTTCCTATAAGACTGCTGTGAACTCATGAGGTATATATAGCCATATCTGATTAAGGGTAGAGAGAAATACAGAAAACTACCATTTTTGAGTGTTGCTTTTGTTAATTTAGCTTCCCTTACTTGTGGTTTTTTTCCTAAACCCAAGCTTCTTAAAATATAAACATTAATAAAGGAATAGTCCCTTTTAGTAAATCCAAGAGATAACTGCTGTAACAACCCAAGTTCCAACTTCTGAACTTTCAACTTCTGAACTTTGTTTATCTTTGGCTGGGTTGTGTTGTCCTGTTTTGGTATCAGAATGAAGTTTAGCAGAGAGCTGGTGGTGAGCAGGCTGTCCCAGGTTGTCTCTGCTGATGTGACACCTTGGGCCTGGCTTGCCCAGGAGGTGGGGCAAGGTCAGTCCTTTGGGACTGCATGGCCTGGGGAGATAGGGACAGGAGGAGAAGGCTTCCCAAATGAAATGTTTGTTGGG